TAAATGGTAAGTGGTCGGCCAACGAAAACACGCAAACGCCTCGAGCAATGGCAATTCCAAAGTCGTTTCACGCTCTATCCCCCCCCCCCGTCCCCCGTCCCCCGTCGCTACGCATCGTTGTCGTCGTCGTCGTCGTCGTCGTTGCGCCGTTACCCTATTCGGAAATTTCATTTCTGTAATTTTCCACCAACGCCTCGGGGCGATCGTTTGCCACCGTTTCGTTTCCCCAATTTCACCATCGCTCGTCGTTTCATCCTTGTCGATCGCGTTTTAAAACGGGGGAAAAAAAAAAAAGGAAAAAAAATAATAACAAAGAAAGAAAGAAAGAAAGAAAGAAAGAAAGAAAGAAGACGGACAGGAGGAGAGACAAGGGGGGAGAAAGTTGATTCGCTTCGAATGGGAAAGAAACAAACGGGAAACGGCAAACGAAGGATACAGGAAACGTGTAGCAACGCGCGGCAAAGGATGTCGGAGGGATACGGCGTTATCGGAGTTTCCGGCGTTGCTCGATAATAATAACTGGCAGGCGGTCGGCCGGCCAGCAAGCACACGCAGCAAGTACCGTTAATTCGAGCTCCGCCAACGAGCACGACGTTCCCTGAAAAACCGGGCGACCGTGTTTCCACGTGATTAGCGGGCGTGCTCGCGATTAGCGAGGGAAACGGTTGGCGAATCGACGAACCGAACGTTCGAAGCGTTACGAGAGAAGAGAAGCGACCGTCTCGCGTTACTCTCCGCGAGAGTCGAGAGTCGAGAGTCGAGAGTCGAGAGTCGAGAGTCGACGTGTCGAAACGAAGAGAGGGCAGAGGACGAAGAGGTCGGCGTACCTACCGGTAGTCGCGTATCCGGCAGAAACGCCACTGGGAAGCAATCGGATATCGTGTATTAGTAAGCAAAGACTAGCTGACGTCAGCTTACGTTGCCATCATCTTGCGATTCTTCAACCAACGCCGCTGCTCTCGACGACGCGACGCAGAGCGACGCGAAACAGAGGCGAAGAAACGTTTCTCTCGATTCTCGGTAAAAGAATCACGAACCTAACCCATCCACCCCTTTGCAACACCGATATCGTGTCGTAGTCGGCAGAGAGAGAGAGAGAGAGAGAGAGAGAGAGAGAGAGAGAGAGAGAGAGGAGAGAAGCAGGCACACAGATCCAGGAACGCGGGCCTGCACGTCGTCTCGATGCCCGCACGCGGAAACGTTAGATATTCTTCGTAACCGAATATGTAGCTCTATAGTAACGGTGAGGCAAGACACCACACACAACACACACACACACACACGCGCGCGCGCGCATATAAACGCGCACGCACGCATGCACGCACACGACAGAGGATGACGAAGCGACGGGGAATGAGAATTGCATTAGCAGAGTTGAATTACTCGACGAAGCGGCGCAGAGGGCAGAGGGGCAGAGGGGCAGAGGGGCAAAAGTAGCTGAGAGTCCTCCTCTATCATCGACAGGGTGGCACGGCCGCGACGGAGCAAAACTTCAAAGTGCACGCCATATACTTGCGCGCGCGTAACGCGGCAACAGGCACGGACGGGAAAGCATCTCGGAAAGGAAAGCAGAGAAAGAAAGAGAGAGAGAAAGAGATGAAACGGCAGAGTAAGAGGGAGGGAAGGAGGTCTGGTGAGCAGAAAAAAGAAAAAGAAAAAGAAAAAGAAAAAGAAAAAGAAAAAAGAAAAAAAAACGTCAAAGTTAAAGTTAAACCGAGAGCAGAGGCGCGTGCTGGCAAAAGGTAGTGTTACGCACATGGTAGCGTGGTCGATGTCGATGATGGGGAATAGAGAGGCGAACGAGGAGCATGAACGCGCCTCGATCCGGTCGCAGACGCGCGTTCAGAAAGCACTCGAGACCGCGGCATGTTAAAAGCCGCGTGATATTCCTGGTTTTACCCCTCGGCTTTTGGCTTTCGGCTTTCGGCTTTCGGCTTTCGACTAAACTCCAAAGTAACCCAGCCGCGCGGTGGAAAACCGCAGACGCGCACCGCACGCATTCACGAAAGAGTCGGGCGGCGCTCCACTTGAAAAGCTTTCGCCTTCTTCTTCTTCTTCTTCTTCATCTGCCTGCAGACACGCAGCAGACATCCAACAGTTATCCCGAGAACGGGTCCAAGTTCTGTCGAAGCGAAACGCCAGCCAACCACCGACGGGACGCGACTCAAAATTTGAGAAAAAAGAAACGCGCGAGCCGACGCGAAGCGTCGCGAAAGAAAAGCCACGAGAGAAGAGAAATTGTTGTTTTTTCGTCTTCTTCTTCTTTTTTTTTTTTCTTTCTTTCTTTCTTTTCGTTTGTTGATCGTTCGTTCGCGGGAATCGGGAGATCTACGACGTCGTCGTCCATCGGAATTGAAAAACAATCCGATCGACCTTTTGAACCGGCCGAGTCCTTCGGCGAGATTACGCGGCGTGTGATGCACCCGACGCGAAGCGTTATCGTTCTTCGCGACGACCGCGTCGTTCGTTGTTACAATAAAACCGCGAGGCGTGAAAACAACGCGAACGCGATCCTCGACAGAGCACGGATTCCCACCGATCGAAAGCCGAAAGCTGAAAACAACGAAACACCGTTATCGCGCAAAACGAGCCAAAACGACCGGGCAGGACTTTCCATTCGGCACGCGCGTCTCTCTCTCTCTCTCTCTCTCTCTCTCTCTCTCTCTCTCTCTCTCCCTCGCTTCGTGTACATACGTACGTACGTACGCGTGTACGTGTCGTTCGAAATCGTTTCCAAGAAGTCGCGTCTTTCGTCATCGACGGGTGATGAGAGATCGCGGCCGACTATCGGCAAGCGCAGCAATTGTAACTCTCCGCGGCAACAGCCCGATTCCGACTAAAACTAAAACGCGATCGCGCCGTTTACTCCCGCCCGTCCCAACTTATCTGAATTTCGCGGTCCCGGAACACGACTAGATACGTGAAACGAACTCTTCCAACGTCGTTCCCCGTCTGTATATCGCGCGTAGACGAAACTAGATTGGAAATGCGGCTGTTGCCTGGGTCATGGTCGCCGTGGCGTATCAATCCCTCTTTCGACACCGTGGCTGCGGTATCGAGCTGGCTGGTAGCATCGACCGCCGGCAGCCACACGCTCATCGGCCAAGCCGATTCCACCGACGCCCAACGCGCCATTTCGTCAACGCCGGAAAAGAACGCGGCGTTCTTCTTCTTCTTCTTCTTCTTCTCCGTTGTCCGATTCCTCCGGTTGGCGACAGCCGCCAACCAAAATGATGTTTTCAGACGAACGTCGTGTCACCAGGTCACAGGTTCGCGACCCGTGCGACCGATAACGCCTCGACTCGACTCGACTCGGGGCGATAATCGAGGCGAAAATTCGTGACAGGAGCGCCCCTCGCTCGGGCCCCTCTGTCCCTACGTTACGCGAGACTTAGGCAAGTGAGACGTTTGGACTAAACGACGGAAAAAAAAAAAAAAAAAGAAAAGAAAACCCTCCCGAGCAAGGAAAAGAAGGAGAGGGAAAGAGAGACAGAGAGAGAAGAGGAAAAAAAAGGGAGAGGAAAACTAGGATCTTTTCTCGCTGGCCGTGATCGTCCGCGGTCGGGTAAGAAACGAGAGAAACCGTAACGCGATACATGTTCTTTTCTTTTTTTCTTTTTTCTTTTTTCTTTTTTTTTCACGCGCGCAGGCCACCAAAGTCGTCGCGAGGTCGGAAAAAATTGTCACGACTCGCGCGCGAGTTACTCGTGGCTCCGCTTTCTCTTTGCTTCGACAAACTACGAGTGTATCGCGGTACAAGGGGAATCCGCTCCGATCGAATCCTCGTTATTTACGACACCCTCGTGCAACACGATCCTGCCACGCTGCTACGTCTCTACTACCTCCTTATCGTCGTCGTCGTCGTGATTTATGCGTTTTTCCAAACGCGTCACGCGGCTCCTCCAGCCAGAGGAGTAAAACAGACGGAGAAAATCGACGATGGTGTGCCGACTAGAATTTTTGCCGCCGGTGGAATCGTTCGGGCCAGCTAAAGAAACGAGAGGAGTAGGGAAAAGACGGATGGAAAGTGAATGAATGAATGAATGAATAAATGAATGAATGAATGAAAGAAGGAAGGAAGGAAAGGAGGGGAGAGAGAGAGAAAGAAAAAGGTAGACAGAGAATAGAAAAGAGACAATGGGGAAAACGAGAGCGGTACTCACTTGCGGTAAGACTGGCGGTTGCAGTCAGCTGATGTTGCGTCGGTGTGGACGAAGGGTTGACGGGTTGTCGCCTGGACGGAGTAGCGTACTGAGTGGTGAGAGCGTCGTTGGAGGGCGAACCGTAGCTCCAGGAAGAGGGTTCGACGGTCGCGGCACCAACCCCGGCGCCGCTCTGTTGCGTCGGGTAAGACGGGCTGTATCCTCGGAAACTCGGCCTGCCGCAAAACGGCTGAGAGAAACCTGGCAGAGTCTGATGAGTCACCGTGCCCGACGACTTGCTGCTGCCGCCGTAATCCTCCGAAATTACGGCAAGACCGGTGCCCAGGCCTGCCGATTCGAAACAATTCCGTCCGTTTTACTCAAACTTGCTCGCTCGTTTTTTTTTTTTTTCCCCTCAAACTTACCTTGCGTGTTCCACAACTGCTGCGGCGAGCCGGTCAGTTCCGTGGGGCTGCTGGTCATGTATGGAAGCCCATAACCACCTCCAGTTGCTGTCGCGCTGGCTGTCGTCATGCTGCTTACGCCGCTCATCGAACGATACAACGAACTGAAACAACACCGATCGTATAACGATACGACGTTGCAAAGAACGAGAGAGAGAGAGAGAGAGAGAGAGAGAGAGAGAGAGAGAGAGCCACGTCTGGCAGCATCGAAGATGCGGCGTCGCACGCCCCTACCCTTGGGAATTAAATTCGAATCGTCGCGTCGCATCCATTCGAATTTTTACCATCGTTCGAATGACGTTCGAAAACACAAAGACAAGAGACGAAACGAGTAAAAGAGTACAGGAACCTCGGCGACACGGGGTTTTGCTAATGTTTCGCGGGAGACCGGAAACCGGAGAGCCGTTCGTTCTATCATCCATCGGACCCCGTAAATGCGGGCGCGTGCCAAGGCAGGATGTTCTTTTTCAATGTTCCTTTCCAACCGACGACCACCCGGAACACAACTACTCCATTATCATTACCCCATTACGGTGGCTATTAACTGGCTACCGTTACCATTAGCACCGCGCACGACCCTTTTACGTACCTGAGCTGCTCTCTCCGGGATTTCACTCTCTTCCCACTCTCTGGTTACCAAAATACAACGCCAGCTCGCAAGATTTTATTATACAAACTCGTGTTTCGATTCCTTCTTCTCTCGTCGCTTGTGACTCGCCAGAGCGCGATAAACTCGCGGCTCGCAAAACTTCCGGTTCACGTCACAGACGTTTTGCGCAACAACGAGACAGACAGACAGACAGACTATTGGCGAGAGATCGCGTGGTCGCAGACTTTTCCGATTAATGATTCCTCCGTTGTTGGTGCAACGTCGCCGTGACTGGGCTTCGCTGCTGCTGCTGCATCTTCCGTCGTCCACGAACACGCGCGCGCTCCTCGCGTATGTTTATCGCGTATCGAGGAACGCGGCGCGAACACCAGCGACGGACACGTCTCCGAGCGAACGACGCAAAGCAAACCGAGAAACGCGCGACCTTCGCGTTTTCTCCTAACTCGTCCGACACGTACCGTTCGATCGGTACGTGCTCATCGGACGATTCCGCGTATTCTACCGGAACGATGTTCGACCAAACTCACTCGAGCAACGGCATTCGCGTTAAAAGAAACATCGATAACAACATTGGCAACCTCGTCCTTCGAACGTTGTCGAACGTCGTCGTCGTCGACGTCGTTTGCGACCGCGAAAATGAAACGAAGACGAATCAATCGTCGACGAAGAAACACACGGAAAGAATTGCGGAAACGATTTCGTTCCGCCTGGACTCGCGCGTCCCGCACGATTGCTCGTTTCACCTCGTTCGTTTCACGGTTCTTTCCTCTTTTTAACCAGGTGTTTTTTTTTCTTTTCTTTTCTTTTCTCTTCTCTGCTGGTGCCCCGCTTCGAGTCGAACAACCAGCGTGGAACAAAACGTCAACGAGGAAAGGAAACGATACGCGCGGCACGTGTTACGCGCTCGTAATTTCCACGACGCGTCGACGAGTCGTCGTAGTCGCGTTCCCAGCCAAGCGCGTCATGCTCCTTTCACGGACACGCGCACGTTTCCACGCTTTCGAGAGCTTGAAAACTTGACGATCCGAGAGTCCTCCTCTCCCGAGACCACCGAGAGACGATCGATCCTATTTATTTACGCGTGCTACGGGTTTATATACACAGGCCACGTACGACGACGCGATGAAATCGAGACGGGTCGACGGACCGATCGATTTGCAACACCGTTTCGAAGAAAAAAATAGTGGATCGCTGGCTTTTCTCTATCTCCCTCTTCCCATTCGTGCATACAACGACGAAGATGTTCCGTTCGATCCGATTTGATTCGTAGGCAACGTGCGTTTCATTGACCAAACTCAATTACGAGCGTGTGTTGTATTTTATCGGACGTGCGTACCGGAGGACAAAACGCGCGACGCGCAACGCTCTCCGAGAGCATCGCTAAAGACAGAGAGAGAGAGAGAGAGAGAGAGAGAGAGAGAGAGAGAGAGAGAAAAGTAGCCGAAGGAAAGGAAAGGAGATGTACATTTCGGTCGGGTCGCGAAGAATGCAGATATCGCGAAACTCAATCTAGAAGGTCGGTAGCGACAGGGTTATAGCCCCTGTTACCGGATCGCTATCTGAATCCAGCGAGTCGATAAGCTCCGCTTCTCACGATAGCGCACGCTGCGTGTCGCGTCGTCTCTCGCCTGGTGGGAAGAGAGATTCCGAGGTCCGGCTGCAACAATTTGCCTACAGACCGACATCGGGAGGAATCGCTCCGAGAGGCGATTAAGCGGCAAAGTTAAATTTCTGTCGATTATAATCGACGATACGTGCCGTTCGTTTGTGTATACACCCGTATACACCTCTCCGTAGGAACGCGATGATCTCACAAATTGTTAACAATCTCGGACGTTGAGATCGCCAAGACGCTCAAGTTTGGCAGAAGTGATGAAAAGCCTCGAAGATGAAAAGTAACGAAAAAAGGGGAAAAAAGAAAAAAAAAAACAACGTTCCGTTTCCCTGCGTAGGCTATCGCCACGTTCGCGATCACGCGTTTGGCCCACGACGGCCACCTTCGACCCGAAGTGGCTCGACTCGCCGCGCCGTTTATTTACGAGCAATATTTTCGCAACCGTTATCGGTCTCTCATTTACTTACTTTATTTTCGTTTCGCGTTCGCAACGAGGCACCGATAAAAACGAAACGTCGTTACCGAACGATAGAAATCCGAATGAAGGAAGGAAGGAAGGAAGGGAGGGGAAGGGACGCGCCAGCGCATGGCAATGCAGCGGCAACGAGAAGCGAGGTGAAACGTGGCAAGAACTATCTTCCTCGCGGCAAAAAACTGAAGCTATATCGTCGTCCGTATGCACGTCGCGCACACGTAAGCGGACTAATCGGATTTTCGATTTTTCGACGAAAGCGGCGACGAGACGACCGAATCTCAACGCACAGGCAAACGACAAACGAAAATGACAAACGAAATAAACAAACGAAATAAACATCGACCGACAGGCGAGAGCGACATATGCGAGTAGAGGCGCGTTGCGTCACCGTTGCCCGTATTTCGCAGACCTATCCAAGGATGGGTGGCGCTCGATGGCAAGACAAAATCGAACGACATTTAGGCTGACGTTTATCGAACACACTCACCGCATAACCTGGCTCGCGCGATCAAGTCGTGGAACAAGATCCTAAAAAAGCACGTACGTGGAGACGTCGATCGCTTCCTCGTCGACTAAACTTGATCGACTGTGCGCTATAGAGCGGACGCGTTGCTTGTACCCACGCAAAGGGCAAGAAAAAGAGACGATTCGTCGAACGACTCTTTCTTCACCCGACCAGGAACGAACAACGAACAACGTACGAACGGAAAACTTACGCGAGGCGAATTACGTTCGAGGTCCTCGGACGTGGTCAGGATTTCCCCTTCCGTGAATCTCTCCCTCCCTTCTTTTTTTTTTTCCTTCCATTTTTTTCCATCCATCCATTCTTTCTTTCTTTCTTTCTTTCTTTCTTTCTTTCTTTCTTTCTTTTTCATCTCTGTTGGCTCGTCTCTCCTCTCGCGATGCCTCGCTCCCACCAGCAGCCCCGGAATCGACACTCTCTTTCTCTCACGTACGTTCTTTCACACCAATCCCCACCATCGTTCCGCGTTTCTCGATTTACCTACGATCGCCAACGACCAACCGCTTTTCCCATTTCTCTTCCTCATCCCGTACCTGTTTCCTCCTTACCAGCCAGCAGCTCGCACTTTATAGTACGCGTAGTGTAATCGCACGTGTACTTACCTACGCGAAACGATCGTGTCACTGATAACTATCCTTCGCCGACGCGATGCGCGTCGCAAACACTCGATAATTCCCTCGACGAGGCGCGTCTCGCGTTGCGCGGACAATAATAAACGTTGCGAGGAAAAAGAATCGGAGGCACTTGTCTCGCGTTACGTTCATTCACGGATATCGATAGTATTATTCGCGCAGCAAGAGGTACGCTTTTCTTTTTGCTACTCTTTTTCACGCGCCGCATCTTTCTTTCAGTCTGCTTGTTCTCTCCTCTCTCTCTCTCTCGATCAGATCACGTCAGTGTCGCTCGCAAGAACGCGTTCTTTCTCGAGTCTGTCGCGTCGCACGATACCGAAAGGTTTCTCGGAACGCAATGGGTACGACGACTGACTCTCTGTTGGACTGTAAACCCTACGCGATGATTCACGATGACGAACTTTGCGTCAAAGATCAACGATTACTATGCGGTTGCTATGTACATTCCTTTTATTCGTTCCCCTTTATACACGCTGACGCGTGAAACGAACGCGAATATCGTACGTCGACGTACAACGAGTACGCAAGTACGCAAGTATAATTTACCTTCGGATCGAGCTGCAAACAGTAATCGAGAGCGGACAAGAGAGAAAGAGAGAGAGAGAGAGAGAGAGAGAGAGAGAGAGAGAGAGAGAGAGAAACGGAGGAGCAGCGACGAGAATCCACGAAACGTACAAGGGGTTAACAGAGAGATCGAACGAGGAGGAGACTTTGCGTCATTTCAAATCTTGGAGCGTTACGTGTAATCACGGCAACGAGATATCCACCAAAAAAAAAAAAGAAAAACGAAAAGCACAGACTGTCCTCTGCACCCGAACTTTAGATATCGAAATTCGAAGGTCGTGGCCCCTTCACGCGCGCGCCGCATGAGGGAATCGACAAACACGAAAATAACGCGCGTGTTTACGTGAATACGAAATCATCGAGCTCGCCGCCGATCGACGTTACATTTCAAACGTGCGCGTCTTTTTTTTTTTTTTTTTTTTGCTTTGTTTGTTTTCGAAAAGGAAAAGAAAAGAAAGAACCGTGATCGCAGCGAATCGCAAACGCGTGAAATTTGTGCGCGTAATCGGCGCGCGGCTCGTACCGATAACCGACGCGAGAGACACAGACAACGCGCGCGATCGCAAAGAATCGTTTCTATCGGAGTCAATAAACTCTTATCGCGATACAGTGTGAAAAGACGGCGGCTCCAGTTCTGGCAGAAATCCATCGGCCAGAGTCGATCGTCGCGATGTGCGATCGGGATGCAAGAGCGCGGGCGTAAAGGAAGATTCGACGGAAGGAAGAAAGACGGCGGGATTCGAGGAGGGCGGCTCGTGCCTGGACAAATCGGCAAATATCAAACGGACGTTGCGTTCGTTTTCACAAAACTGTTAGCATAGGGCCGGGGAAACGTCGCACTGTTTTCCATCGTCGGTTTTTAGCTTTATTTTTCGTTTTGTATCGCCTGCGTATACAATACTCGAGGAACACGGACGCGCATCCCTTAAGCCGCCGTGTAAATACTATTGCGAACGGCAAATCCTCCTTTTCCCGAGCGGGTACGTGCGGCCGTGCCGTAAACCACAGATGTGGCACGATCTTTCAGATCTTCCGAGATAGGTCGATCGATTATCGAACACGATCCGCACACGATCCGGACACGATCGAGACGGGCAGAGAGACAGACAATCTCAGAAAGACACTTTGAAAGACACCCAAAACATGCATAGTTCGGACCGGTTACTAACCTGGAAAGCGTGCCACTGGGAGAATTCGGCGTCGAGGAGCCAGGTTCGTGCTCCTGATGATGGTGAGGCGTTCCAACCGTGTGATGAGCGTATATCGGATCCATGTACAATTGATCGGAAACGCGATCGGTGGTGTCTTGAGCGAGAGCGTGGTTAGCCTGAACCGAAGACGGTGGTTGCATAGCGGTCAAATGGGCGTACGATTGCCTGCTGTGATCGCTCGGGCTGTATCCACCACCACCACCACTACCACCATCACCACCACCACTATCGCCACTGCCACCATTACCACCACCACCACAACCGTCGTCACCTCCTCCTCCTCCTCCTCCTCCTCCTCCTCCTCCTCCGCCCTCCGTCCGTCCCTGAGGACGATGAGGCGACGAAAGTTCGCGATCGTCGTGCGGACTGCGACTAGAACCCGGGGAACTACCGGTTCGAAGCGTCGTCGGTGAACATCCACCGCAACCTCCACCTGCCTCTCCACCGCTGACATTGCTACCCTCCGTACCACCGCTGCCACTATCACCGCCAACGTTGTTACCGTTGTTGTTACCACCACCACCACCACCACCACCGCCACCACCACCACCTCCTCCTCCTCCTCCACTCGCGGCTCGAATTTGATGCTGAAGATACGTTGCGTCCGTCAACACTTCGTCCAAATGTTGATGATGGTGATGATGCTGATGATGATGATGCTGCTGCTGCTGATGGTGATGGTTATTATGCTGATGATCTTCATTCGCACCGACGTCACCGGTAGAACCGTTCGCGCCGCTAGTGCCAAGATTCGGAAACAGCATGCCAAAGGTAAAATCTCCACGAGTACCTCTCATGGCCGTTGTTATTTCACTGTTTCTGTCCACAACATCCTCGTTCGTCTCTTGATACGACGATACCGATCGCGAGTGCGAATGCGACTGCAACTGCAACTGTACCTCCTGCTCCTCCAAGTGACGAAGATGACTCGAAGAAGAAAGCACACTCTGTTGAGCCGCGTCCGATTGCAAATGCTGCTGCTGCTGCTGCTGATGATGATGATGATGGTGTTGTTGATGAGGGTGGCGGTGGGAGTTGTGGTGGTGGTGATGAAGATAGTGGTGGTGATGATCGGTCGCGGTTGGTGAGAGTGACTCGGTAACAGAACGATGCATCGTAGAGTGAAGCGCGTGACTGCCGACCCGATTTTCCTCCGGCAACACGCAGACCTCGCCCGGCCGTTCGTTATCCCCACCCTTGGTAACCGATACTTCTCTCGCCCCTAGTTGAACGTACTCGGACTGATGGTGGTGGTGGTGGCGGCGGTGGTGGTGGTGGTGGTGGTGGTGGTTATGGTTGTAGTTGTAGTGGTGGTGGTGGTGGTAGTGGTGCTGCCGCTGTGGTTCCTGCTCCTGCTGCTGTTGATGGTTGTGGTTACGGTCGTGATCGTGCCGCAGACACGGTTGCACACGCCGCTGTTGTTGTTCATGGTGATGCTGTCGATGGAGGGGTTGTGAAACCTGTTGCTGTTGCTGTCGTTGCTCCTCCTGCTCCGAGGAATCACCGCCTAGATCGCCGCCCTCGTTCTCGGTCGAGTCTCGATCGCGATAACCCCTGGATAATTAAGACGAGCGATAACTTCTTCAAAATTTCCTCTTCTTCACTTCGACGCGACGACCGAAATGCACGCGAGTCCGCAAGTACGTATTTGTACTCGAGCACGATACGCAGCCTCGTTGCTTCGAGATCAAGGGCGAAACGTTGCATGCGAGATTGCGTACTTACTTACTTACTTACCTGCGTGTGCCTATACACGTATGAAAACGATTTACACGCAAAACAAAAAAAAAGGAAAAAGGAAAAAAAGGAACTTTCACCTCGTGTCACGCTTGCTCATCGCTCCTACCTTTCTCGAACGACGAAATCCTGGCTGGTCAAGTCGAACGAATGCACACCACCGGTGTTGTACACGGTGTCGATACCGTTTTCGCGCTCCAACGAGGCGAAAATCGTTACCGGTTCGTCACTGCTCGCCTCTTCTACTGCGCCATTTTCAATTTCATGTTGTCCCGCCTCCAGTCCGCCTACCGCGTTCCCGCCTTCTTCGCTTCCATGCTTTTCATACGATAGTTGTTGGTGGCATTGCTGTTGTCGTTGCTCTCTCCTTTCCTGCTCGTCTAGCTGTTGCTGTTGCTGTTGCTGTCGTAAAAGATCGGTTCGCATCTCGTCGTTGCTCTCTGCGCCACTCTCCTTCGTCATTTTCGTACATCTTCCCTTCCTTTGCGCATCGTACTCCCCCGTCGTATCCACGAACTCGACCATTTCTGTGAACACGGCACGACAAAAGATGACCTAATCCTAATCGAGAGAGTCGATCCAACAACAACAACAACAACAACAACAACAACAGCAGCAACAACAACGATAAGACCAAATTTCTCCTATCGAGTGATATAATTGATGTTGCCAACGATCGCAATAACCGCCACGTTGGAAAATCGATGGCGATCGATCGATTAGATCTAATGTATCGTGCTTCAGACGAAAAGCGACGATATTCTTGTATTTACTAGTTATAGTCCTTTCGTGCAAATAATTTAAATATTTTTATAGATAGAAACCAATCTGACTTACGTCGATTTGAACTCAAATCATGTAAGATTTTAAAAGTTGGACAGACCTAATTATTAAGCTTCTACATTTAAAATTTATCTCAATTCAACATCGAGGTCGCAATCATTTTTTTCTATAAGATCCATGAAAGAAATATAACGCTGTATAACTCCCTAAGGTGATTTAATCTAATAATTATAAGTTAAAAAATCGAAATATTTTCTTAAATTAAAGTTTTTGTTAATTAAAATCTATTAAGTTTAATAACTCTCCCAATTAAATATTAAATTTGCATTATTTTTAGGTACGCTTTATTGCCCGCGTTACAAGAAAGAGAAGAAGACCAGAGGCAAAAGAGGATCGATCAGAGTCGGCCGAGGGCATGAAAAAGAGAGCAAGAAGAAGGAAAGAAAGGGGTCCTTCGATTGGACGCTTGTCCTTTTTGCAATATCTTCACCCGTCGATCTCGTTCTCTTCAAAGAAAAAGAGTTTACCTAGGAGTATTTCGTCTTGCTTGCAATCTCATCTCATCCGTGTGCATTATCCTTATCGAAGACGATAATCGTTTCGCGATAGTAATTATCGACCCTAAAACTAAAATTTGAAACAAAGATGAGAGAGAGAGAGAGAGAGAGAGAGGGAGGGAGGGAGTAGAGTAGAGAGGAAAGGTGAATACAAGATCATAGGGGCGACAAAAGATAGGACAAAAAGTAGGTAGGTACCAGTTGCAGAAATAGATATGTACTTGGTGCAAAGGTAAATAGTAGATTTAAAATCTTCAAAGAAGAAATCCTTAAAAGAAGAAATTTGAAACTTAACAAATAAAATATATCTCTCGATCCAGAATCACGCTGAATGACCGAAACGTCGACCCGTTTGACGATATCTTTCCCAAGACGTGCCCTACCAACCTTCACCAATTAGCCAATCAAATAGCCAAACTCTAACGTTTCTGCGTTTCCGAGACACGAATTCCGTCGGAAAAAGAAAGAGACGTGCTTTTTCCCTGAAAGTACAAAGACGAATCGATGCTTTTGGCACGAAATCAAGAAACCATGTTTCGCCAATCGACTCGACATCATCTCGACAAATTAAATTACATTGAATCATCGATTTCGGATTATTCTCCATTATTGTCCGTCCGAGTCAAGTGGAATCGAATCGATTCGGGTCGAGCCTAGCCGTGTCAATGAGAAAGCGAATGGAAGTGCAGAGTCGTGAAGATGTAGAAGGTCACGATCCCGATTAATCACTCTGGATGAAGAAAATACGCGGCCGATCGCGGCGCGACGTGACCCAACATCATCGAGAAAACCTCTATTTCCGTTTGCGTTGCGAAATCGAGCCGCGCCGTCGGTTTAGAATCTATTAATCGATCGTTTCCTCTCTTCTTCCATTTTGCTGGTAAAGTGTGCTGGTACAGGACTAGACCAAATAACGACGAACATTCCGAAAACTCAGCCGGTTTCTACTCGTTACCCTCTTCTCGTTCGTTCGTTCGTTCGTTCGTTTCTCAATCTCTGGCCGAGATTGGAGGGGTGGTATCCTATATATCGGATAATTAGACGTAGTCGAACGTTAGCCGAAAGTCGTTCTTTCGACGCGGTTGTTACAACGCTGCCAGCCAAAGAAACGAGGTTAACGTTCCCCATAGAGAAGTGGTAGCGAGGAAAGAGATTCCGTTGGCCGAGCGGAAGACGTTTTGAATACAACGGGGGCAGAGGTTGCTCTTATCTCCTTGGTCCCATAAAAACGTTCACTGTTATCCGCAACGTAGACGACGACCGACGACGCGGCGCACATCGATGCGGTTTACGACGAGATTTTCAGAGATTGAATAGTCTCTTTATCTCGACATTCTCGACTCTTCCTCCTCTCTCCTCGTTCCTCGCTCCCCCGATCGCTCTTCTTCTTCTTCTTCTTCTTCTTCTTCGCCCTCCTCCCCATCCTTCGCCAGTCGATTCCTCTCTTTGCGTGCTCTTATTAAGAGAACAGCTACCATCATCCATCGATTATCCATCCTTCTCTGCTCTTGTTTCCCTCCTCTGTCCTCTTCTTTATTCTATCTGTTGGCTGTTTCCTTCTGTAACCTATCGCAAGTATGCGATACAATTTAAACGCTAAAATGGAATGGAGCTGTCTGTGTAGAGTATCGAATGAAGTAGAGTAGTAGAAAATGTCGACAACTGTCGACAGAGTAACAATCATTCGGGAGAGTAACAATCATTCTCGTAGAGAAAGACCTTGCTTGCGAGCACATTTCGTTCGTCGAAAGTTTTGACGTCTGTTTCGGTGGCGGATATGCATCTACGTACGTAAGTAAGAGAAGGTATGTACATGCGTTTTCCATAAGAAATCATCGTCACGTGCTTCCACTTGACTGGCCATAAACGATCTTTCAATTATTTTACCACTCTCGTTACGGATCCTATCGTGTCACTGCGTCAATGAGAAGCGGGAATAAAGCAGAAGAGAAAATTGAGTCGGTCGGTCGGTCGATAGAAGTTGATCCATCAAATTCCACGGTAGACGAGCGTTCACCTTTCGCGAGAGGATTGCTTTTCCTCTACAAGCAATCGAAGAAGGCAAATATCCACGATTCGAACGAGTTGGTTCGGCCAACGTACATACGTTGATCTAGATCTAACCGCATCGAACTCGATGCGAACCAAGGGGCTGGAGGGAGGGAGGGAGGGAGGGTTAGAACGTACGTATCCTACTCGTAGCCTACTCGCAGATGTGTCAGTGAGTAGGTACGTGCATGTGCGACGGTACAGTGGTAGAGGAACGGAGGCGGTCGGTAACCCTCATTTTATCTCAGCGGTTCTTCTTCGTTTCTGCATCTTGAGCGTCGCGAAAAAAATAATAAAAAAAAAATTGCAAGTCGTTTTCTAGATTCCCAATAGCGCCGTGACGAATAGTAATCCGTTCGAGTGACCCGCAATCGGTGCAATCGGAAAGAGAAAGAACGTTCGGCGATTAGCCCTGCCAACGAACGAATAAAATGAACGAACGTATTGTGCGCAAGGGAGTAAACATCTATGCCGAACCATATGCACATATATATATATATATATATATACCCAGCTACACCTATGTACATAAGCACCTACGTACCGTAAGAAGAATCCTAGAATCCCAGAATCCCAGAATCCCAGATCCTCAGTCTTAGGACCCGAGTCGCACGATGCGAGGAGAGAGAAGAAAAGGAAAGGAAAGAAAAGGAAAGAGAGACGGGGTAAGAGAGTAGAAGATAGAAAGGGAAAGAGAGGAAGAAAAGCAAATAATCCAATCGGACTCGCTTACCCTTCGAAACGAGAAACAAGAATGAAAGAGGAACGCAGAGCAGCGAAAAATATTCTTTCGTGTTCCGCCGCGCGGATGCTGACGGAAGAAACAAACGACCAACGACGACGAGTTGATTTCGATCTCGATTTCGATTTAGTTGCCATCGGCGAGAACTCCGTCCAGTTTCGGCCACCGGGTGAAATTTATTCGACGCGACTGCGAGAATGTCTACGTGTCGAGTTTCTGTCGTGTTTTTTACCAAACACGGTTGGACACGGTTCTATGTATCCCCCGGTCTCGGATTCGTTTGGCTCCATTAACTTTCCAACCTAACTTATCCGGCCCCGACCTCTCGAGAAGGGAAGAAGAAAGAGAGAGAAAAAACAAGGCTGACGAATTTGAAAAGATGCCAAATTGTCCACGCATTAGCGAGAGAGCGTTCAGCTTCGCGACGACAGCGATCGACCATATCGCCGCCACTTGTTACCTGCCGATCTTTTAGCAGCCCACGCGACACACTATGCGTGTCTTGTTAAAAGATCGACTTGTTAACTATCGAGCGTATATACAGTGGGGAGCAAAATTAAACCAGTGAACGTGTTTTTGTAGAAAATATAAACTTATTACACATAATAATTACACACTTACTTTACCATAACAAACGTGTAACAGTTTTACAACATTTTCTTTAATTTAGCAGCAATATAATTTTTGTCAATTATGCACCATCCAAAAAATAATAGAGAATAATCAGAGTTTTATAAATGTTTAATACTTTGTCCATAAACCTTTTGCACTTATAAAACGGCTGCAATTCGTCTAGGCATACTAAATTATTACACACTCCTAGAGGAATTGCATACCACTCTTCAATTCTTTCTCATAATTCGTCGAGATTTCTTGGAGGCGGTCCATATTCGTCCCACAGATTTTCTATGGGATTCAGGTCTGGACTTTTGAGCTGGCCAGTCCAGAACCTGAAATGGTTGCAATTTCAACCATTCTTTGCACGCTTTTTGCCATGTGTGCTTGGGATCTCTATCGTGCTGAAACACGATATTTCTTTCATCGATTGGCATATTTTCTATTGCTTCGCGTAATTTTATATCCAAAATTTCTTTGTACATATACTGGTTCATTTTGCCTTTAATACGTGTCAATGATCCAACACCATACATTGTAAAACACCCTCAGAGCATAACAGATCCACCTCCAGATTTTATAGTTTCATTTACGTGTCGCTTTTGTAGCGATTCGCCCTTCCGGATCCATGCCCATTGTCGCCCGTCAGACAAAAATCAGTTAATTTTAGACTCATCTGACCGTACGACTCGTTCCCAGTCGTCTACTATTTTTTCCCAAAAGCTGTACGAGCTTTAATGTTTTTCTTGCTCAACTTTGGTTCGTCTTTCTTTTCAATTGC